CCACCCCCACCACCCCCACCCCTGCCACAGTACTGGGGTTATAAGCAGACGTGGCCCTGCCCATTTTACCTGGCATTGGGATCTGAACACAAGTCCTCACGCAGGAGTAGCAAACACTCTTATCCACTGAACCATCTGACCAGCCCTCTATTATGTCTTCAGAAATGAAGAAATTCGATATAAAAAAAGTTAACTAACTTTCCCAAGGTCACAAAAAGAGTGAAGGTTGAAGGGAATGGGCTATTTGTCTAAAACAAAATGCAGTAAAACAGCATATTAAATCAACTCCACAGTTCTTGTCAAAGGCTACTTTTTTACCCTCTAAAAATCACTTTTTGGGGTAGCTTCTTAGAAGCAATAATGGTAGCAACAGTTTCAACAGGATACTAACTCCATTTAAGTATTGATTTTTGCTTCCTAAGTCTTCTGTATTTTTATAGTGTTCTCTGTTGGCCTGATTTCTGGTGCTGTTCCGTAGACAGGGAAGCATTTGTGGCAAACTGGATTCAGATTTCCACATGACTTCACATAGACTGGTTGACTAGGACATACACAGGAGTTCTTCAAACCTCTTTCACACTGGCATTCAATAAAGCGGTTCCCAACGTTGTGTTGGAAAGTAAAAGGGATTTGGAGACTAACACAAACTTCTCAATTTACAACTTAAAAAGTGAGGCTGAGAGAAATTAAGTGATTGTTTTTCCTGGAGCTTGAGCTCAAGGCCTTGGATATGCTAAGCAGGAGTCTACCACTGAGCCACATCCCCAGCCCTCAAGTTAAGAAGCCTCCTCCCTGGGTCCATGTGCAGTGATAATGAGCCCACATCCCAAGTCTGCACGCACTCACTCTTGCAGCTCTCTGAAGCTAATTGACAGGGGGCTGATGGCTGCTCCTACCAGAAATTTTTCTGAGTCATACACTGTACAAAATGCTCCCCCTCCCCAACCGGAGTTACAGAGTGAGACAGAGAGGTGGGCATGGGGCCAAGCTAATGTGGGCAGAGTCCCTGCTGTCTCCCACTTGCCAGTCTGAATTCGTGACATTTTTGTCTGTGCTCTGGAAACTACTAAATGTTGCTTTGGTGGTTTCCTTGCCTTCTGATGCAGACTTTAAGGGAGTCATCTCACTTCTTGGTCTCCTTGTAAGTGTCTCCTTGGAGTGTCCCATGGGGAGCAGTTACTTATAATGATGCTGCCAACTTACTTCATAAATGCATCGGGCTCTCAGCAGCAAGGCCCGGGGTGTCTGTCTGTCTGTCTCTCTCTCTCTCTCTCTCTCTTTCTCTCTCTCTCCCTCCTTTCTCTTTTCTCTCCTCTCTCCCCCTCTCCTCTTTCTTCTCTCTCTCCTCTCTCCTCCTTCTTCTCTCTCTCTTTGCTGTGTTCAAGATTTAATCATCAATGTGAATAAATATATAGGTGGCTTGTGCCAAATGCATAGAAGATACAAAGATAAGAGCACAGTGAATGTAATAGAAGAATCAGATTATAAGGCATTTAGGATAATGGAGCAATATTAAAATTAAATTTGGGAAGGAAAATTTGTAGTTCTTGGACTTGGGTGAAAATATATGTATAGGAATCCTGTAGTAATATTTGACATACCCCTACCATAGGGAAAATTCTGCTTTAGAGAGGTAGGAAATGTTAAGAGTTTAGAATGACTTTTAATGTAGCTTGATAATTATGTGACTGACTACAGGATCATCTCATCTTGGACAGCCTTACAACATATGGTTTTCAGAGCAGAAAATGCAACAGTGGGAAGGAGACAGGGATGGGGGAGAGCGGCCAGAATTCCTTATATGCCTGTTAGAAGCGTCAAAGGGCAAGATTAATTATGAAACAGTTTTCTCTCTGCTTAGCAAAGGATCCAGTTCAGCTTATCACACAAGAAGCCAGCAAAATTGCAATAGTAGACTCCAATTTAATGAGGAATTTTGGATAAGTTGTCCTTTGATGCAGTATCTTGACACTGTGATTTTTTTAGAAACTTGTTAGAGTAGAGGTCATATAACATCATCATAAAAGATAACTTTCTGATTGTGAAAAATAAATTTTTAAAATGTATCAATTTGGTTTGATTCAGCCTAACCAGACTATATGACTTTATTTTTTCTTTCTAGATACTAGAGTCACAGTGAAACCAATAAACATCCAGACTTTGGTAAGAGCAAGAGATGGTTCACTTTGACAGCATGAAGCATGATTGAAAGGAATGGAAATGTTTGCTCTGAGTGGCTGTAGCTGTCCACAGTGCAGGCTAATCAGTCAGTCTGCCACAGTTCCATGGATGCTGACATGACACAGACTTTTGGGTCAGAGACAAAAGGCAGTTTATTACTCGCAGTCACAGGAGGAATGCAATATCAGCATTTCCTGTGCCCTCACCCAGGTCCCATCCAGCTACTCAAGGAAGGGTGGTTGGTGCTTGCTTATACAGTGGGTTACTTGATGGGAAAGAAACCTCAAACCTAGGTAACTCCAGTCCTTTGTAATTGACTGGAAACAAACATGCTCAGTTATTTTTCTGGGAGAAACAGAAACCATCTCAAATCAAACCTCTTCAAAAAGGAAAACAAGGACCTTTGCCAGAAAGACACGTGGAAATAGGAGAGACCCATGGAGAAAGGTTTTCTGCAATAACTACACCTTGAGAGTAGTCATGCTAAAGAATAACAGAGGGCCGGGCGTGGTGGCGCACACCTTTAATCCCAGCACTGGGGAGGCAGAGGCAGGCAGATCTCTGTGAGTTCAAGGCCAGCCTGGTCTACATAGTGAGTTCTAAGCCAGTTAGGGCTACAGGAAGACCCTGTCTCAAAAAGACAAAAAAAAAAAAAAAAAAAAACAAAAAAAAAAACAACAACAACAACAAAAAAAACCCAGAAACCTCTGTCATTCTAGACAACAAAACAAGATCCAGGGGTGAAAAGTGCGGTAGGAGACCTTCTGGCAGAGAAGGATTCGCAAAATGCAATGGATACCTGATGACTTGGGATGTGATCAGGAGGAAGCCAGACTACTATTTGTCACTGATCATTAAGAAAAATATGCATGGGGCTGGAGAGATGGCTCAGCGGTTGAGAACACTGGCTGCTCTTGCAGAGGACCTGGGTTCGGTTCCCAGTACCCCCATGACAGCTAACAACCACCTGTAACTCCAATTCCAGGGGATCCAATGCCTCTTCTGACCTCTGCAGCATTGCACAACACGGGTGCATCTACCTACATACAGGTAATACACTCGTACCATAAAATAAAAATATAAATAAATAATTTTTAAAGTTTATTTTATAAATCAGAGACAGCAAAGGGTTAAGAGTAACTACTACTAAGGTAAAACAATTATCACAATATAGTCTTTTTATTATTTATTTTTATTATTTTTATTTTTTATGTGTATGAGTATATTGCCTGCATGCATGTAAGTGCACCCATGTCATGCAATGCCACAGAGGTCAGAAGAGAGCTTCAGATTCTCCTGGAACCAGAGTTAAGGATGGTTGTTAGCCATTTTTGGGGTGCTGGGACTCAAACTCAAGTTTCCTGCAAGAACAACCAGTGCTCTTCACTGCTGAGCCATCTCTCCAGCCCCTCTTTTCTTTTTTTTTTTTTCAAGTATGTGAATATTGCCTCTGTTTACTTCCGGAATTTTCCATTTAATATTTTCAGACTGCAGTTGATCGCTGGCCACTTAAACTGCTGAAAACAAACTGCAGCTAAGGTGATGGGGGAAGAGATTACTATATCAAAGAAAAAAAAGGCAAAATAGGAAAGGATAAAGTTCACTTTCAAACTTGAGCTACTTCATCAGACTATATGTCTCTGAAGCTTGGGCTCAGGACCCAGGCTTCTCTTTGATGACTGTGGACAGGGCAGTGCCCACAGTCTCTTTTGAACACCGTTAGAATCTCCCTTGTTTGTCATGCTCCTTCAGCTAAGAAATAAACTTGGAAGCCTTATCCTAGATTGATTATTCTGTGTTTTGAGAATCTGTACTGCAATCTAATTAGACATGATTCTGACACTTTAACTGAAGTTCCAGGATATTATATAAAAAAATCAGCTGCAAGCCTTCCTTTTCAGAATCAACAGATGCTTGCTCCTTTCCCCTGCTGCTAAAAGAGGCTAAATTTGTTGCAACTCTCAGGTCAGTTAGCAAATGGATATTTTCATGCTTGGATTTACTAGCTGGTGATTTGGGTTTGAATTATTCTGGACATGATGCAACTATAACCAGTGATGGAGAAGAGACAGGGTGTCATGGGACCTGGTCTCTGCTACTTTGTGTGTAAAGTGAGACGTTTGTCTTGGATGATAGCCATGTTTCTTTGTAGTTTTTCGAACTCTCAAGAACCTATGAAAATTTGCTTCTTTAAAAACTGGCATAACCTTGGTGTTCTGGGGCTGATGAAAGGGTTTGGGAGAGGACAGTATGTGCAGAGAAACATTAGTTGTCATATCAGAAAAGCCTGTGGAATAGAGGGATTTGGGAGGATTTTATGATGCTTTGTGGCATGGCATGAGTATTCATTTGCAGCAGGAAACTGGAGGCAAATTTCTGCTCTAAGCTAAATCCAGCAGATCACCGTGTGTGTGTGTGTGTGTGTGTGTGTGTGTGTGTGTGTAAATACCCCTGGACTGGAACGGACCCCAGATGGGCTGAAGTGTTGGGTCCTGGCTCATTCATCCAAAGCAACTGCAGGACAGGAAGGACTTATGTCTACAGAGTAGACATTTCCCTAGAAAATTCATTTCTCCTTTTCAGAAACAAGATGTGCAAATAAAGCTTAGAAGGTTCTTTTCCAGGCAAATAATGTCTCCAGCACAGGCCAGTTTGATTCTGGATTGCACATGTCCAGTGTTCTGGGCAGTGTTTCTGGCTCTGCTATACATCTTTGTGATCAATCAATACACAAGACACCCACCTGACAGCCAGATACCAGACTTTACAAAATGCTTTGGGGTGTATAAGAATTTTTGAAAAGAATCCACTTTCAATACGTTTTACATGTCAATTCTGAAAATTGACATCTTGAAATCACAAAGCTCAGTTTTAAACTACTTATGGTGAGTTTTTTTCAGCACCCAAATTTATCAATATACTTACAATATAAAAGTTTCAGTGTTTGAATATCATACTGTGCAATGAAAACAATAAAAGAACTTGAATAGATGATTTCTGTATATGTAAAGATCTATAGGATATAACTTCTGCCTCTTAAAATTATATTTTTTGCTTCTGCCTTAATCCTTGAAAATGGTAGAATGCTACATCTTGGACTGCTTATGAATCTACTAGCACTACTTATGAGTCAAGTTTATCACCTTCTACCCCCAAGTTAACCCTCTTTACACCTGTTAAAGGTATTTTAAGAGGTCTCTTAGAGAGAGTGTTGATGGAGAGCTTGAACTGTCTTGAAGGACATAAACCATGGAATTGTGCTTTAGAGCTTTGCCACATTATTCTGAATCAAAAGGCAAATCTCTTCTAGAGTGACCTTGGGAAAGTTTTGTTTTAATTCTCATTCTGAGACACAATGTACATGATTAAGGCCAGACGATCTTGTTATAAATACCTTGTAAGCTAGGCAAAATGCTGTACTCTAAGTCCTGTAGCCAGAAAGCCAAGAGAGGGAGGGCTTATGTGACCTTTTGAGAAAATGTGGCTTACCCCAAGGAGCTGAGAGTAATTACAACAGTGAGCCCTTCTCACAGGAGGATCAGTTTATTCTGAAGAGCCAAAGCTTTTTATCATTTGTTATGGTATTCTTGTTCTGGATGCAGGATCAGGGAAGACTCAGTGAGGGGAGATGGAACAAGGAAGTGCAAGCTGAGAACAAAAAGGAAAACTAGAGTAGGGCGGAAAGGGAGCAGGCAAGAAGAGCAAGCTTGGGGCAGCCTGGGGCGCGTTCTGGCAATGCCTAGAGTTAAAGGCCTCACAGAGGGCAGGTGGCTATTTCTGTCTATTCCCCTTATAAAAATAGAACCTGGCGTTACCCTGAGGAAGAAGTAGAAGCCAGAACTACCACACAGCCCTTCATTCCATCTTGCCTCTCATTAGTCTACAAAGTCTCCCAACACCACCAGTGGGTGCCAGAGCCACTGTTGTCCCTCCCAAGTTCCTCCCACCTCCTCACTGTCCACTCCAGCCAGGCTCTCCTAGTCCCGACTCCCTCACTTGTGTCAGCACCTCCACCACCTCCTTATTCTGTGGTTTGCCCTCCTCCCTCTCCTTGAACACATCCAAGACACCTGTGTCCTCTTAGGTCAAGGTCTAATTTATTTTATAACTTGCATTACATAAGCTTTATACCAAGCACATAGATAGGAATTATCACACTGAACTACCATCTCCTGGGACATTTTCTTCACTTCATTTTATGGCCCACACCCATCTCTCTCTCTACTTCCTATTGTTCACTAACCCAAATCTATAGAATCAACCCCTTAGATGAAGGCTGTGGTATATCCTGGAGGAAGTGAGGTGTGAGGTAATCTAAGGTAGGATTTTGACTGGTTCTTTTTGTTTACATGCTAATTTAACGGGCTCTCATGTATTCCAGGCTAATCTCAATCACCGTGTGTCTGAGACTGGTATTTCTTTTTATGTTCTTCCATATTGTTTCATAGATTCTTACCATGAGTTTTATACATTTATAATAAAACGGTATATATATTAAGCTCCCCAGATAATTCTGAGGTGTCATTTGAACAATGCTTTGGTCACAGGCCTTCTTTCACTACTTGTGCACCACTGTGACATTTTCATACAAGTATATTGATGCCGTTTGTTTCCCTCCTTTGTCCACCTGTTCCTTCCCCAATTCCCCTCCTCATTCCTAATAAGCCCCTTCTCGAATAGGCTGTATCTGTGCAGAACAGTTTGTAGGTGTCCTTCATGAAACAGGATAGGAATGACTCGAACTGGAGGATCATTCCTTCTTCTTGCTTGTTTTCTTCTTTCTTGGGAAAATGTTACCATTCAGTCCACACATCATCCTTAGTACACCAGTCTTGGTGAAATGAGAGGAAATGTCACTGTTTCTTGAAAAGTTTTATTTGGTGACTACATGTTGTCATACACCTGTGTTCCTCTTACAATTTTAAGTCTTCTCCCCACTAACCAATTCGCTTCCCTTGGGAAGAAAATCTTGAAATTGTAGTTGCAACTGATTGCTTCCATCACTACGGAAGGTAAGTTCAAGCTATAAGTATGTGCCTCTATAGGTGTTAGTCATAAACAGAGACTACTAGGCCCAGTAGAGAATTTCAAAACTCTGTACCCTTTGAATTGAATTTTACTTAAAAACTAAAGTGATATTCTCATTGGTGGTCACTAAGGAAAGAACCATGTCTTCCCAGTGCTCCCTGCTTCGGAAGGAAAGGAAAAGCCACTTGAGACTGTCTCCACACAGTCTTCCTCCATCTGCCCAGACGCCTACAAGATAAAACTGGGAGACATGGTTAGAGGAAGGTAGTCTCTTTTGAGCCAGGTCCTCAGACTCAGTTCAGATTTTTTCTAATCTATTTTTCTCTGTTCTGATGAAGCAGTGCTTTGCTTTATAGCAAAGTCTACATCAGTGTTGGTGTTCTTGGTTTTACAATCGTACCTTCAGCAACATGCAGTAACCGAAGACATTTATACCTTCCTATTTCGGGTTAGTAATGTAAACTTTCCGTCATCCTCAAATAAGAAACCTATAACCCGAGTGCACGTTTGTGAAATGAATCATTTTCCTAGGACCAGATAGTGTTAAAATTTGATTTGTTGAGAACGTTAGCAAAAAGGAATATTTGCCCAGTCATGAAGCCCTTCACCTCTTGGGAGATGCTGCTATGTTCCTGCTAAGCAAGGGCATGGTCAAATTGTCCTTTCTCCAGGCCTTCAAGACCATCAGCCCAGGTTGAGGTTGGCATGCTCCGGTACGGGTCTAGAAGAATCCGAAAGCACCTGACAATGAGGATACCCAAGAAGATAAACAACAAAATCACAAAAACGAATGTTGTTTTCTGTTCAAGAGACATGCTAGAATCTGATAAGTTTCCATGGGGCACCAAGGGCGTAGGGCCGGCCTGTCCTCCATCCATCGTCCAGGGAATCCTGAGCACAGAATCTCCTGGTTCCCCTTTTTTCCATCATCAGTCTGCGGAATTCATGGTGGTTGCTCCCTGGAGAGGTTGAGTTATCTTCAGGAAGAAAGAAAGAGAAGGAAAGGACATGACTATTGGATGGTAACCTGGTTTTCTAGACTCACAGTCATGGTTCTCAGAAGAAATCTGTACACCAATTTCTCTTTGCCTCAGACACTTAATTCTGTGTGATTACAAGGAAGAATTTTACTCTTGCATTAAATCTCCCGATTGTCCTCAGAAAGACCACTTGAGATCAAGAGGGATAGGCTGAGAATACAGCTATCACACAGAAGACAAGAAATGTGCAAAGTAATGACCTCCATGTGTGCTGTCAACCTGATAGGCAAGCCTGGCCTCCCTGCCCAGGTCTCCTTCAGCCTCATCCTGTCATGTTGCTCTCATATCCTTATGATATTCATGATAATCAGCAGGTGAGCACCAGCTGTTTGCCAGGACTGTGATAAACTTGGCATTCATTAGTCATAAAAACAGGGATCTAAACAGCCCCCGTGTGAGGAGGCCGAGACGAGGAAAGGGCTTTGGATGTTGGCTCCCACTTTACTAGAAAATGAGCTTGGGACCTCAGAGAGGTCGGTGAGTTATAAAAAGGAAAAAAAAGCATCTAGAATTGCCTGCATATCTCTTGGTGTGATGGTAAAGATGAATGTCTATGAACAGCCTTTGAAAAGTGTAAAAAGAGAAGAGAAGAAAACAAAGTGTTGCCTCACTTAAGACAGGACGAAGGGAGCTACACTGCCTCCCCTTTGCCTCTGACGCCGGAGCTGAGGGAGAAGGAGGCGCCTTCAACTCCTAAACCATCAAAAAAGGTGCTTTTCTTTCTTCTTCAACAACAAAGACCTAGTTCAATACTTGACCCTGGGAAGCGCTTAGAGAATTGAGCACAGGGAAAAGAATTGATCAAGCACATTTGTAAAAGGACAGTTTTCTCAACAGCAGCTTCCTACCACTTAAGACCACTTGGGAAAGAGAGAGAGAGAAAGGGGGGGGGCAAGTTATCACTATTTCATTTTAATGGTGAAAAATCAAGACTTTAAATATCACTATTTACTTTTGAAAGCAAATAATAGAATATAAAAGCTTCAGGTACTATGCTAAATCAATTCAAATCAAATTTTGTGAATACAGAAGGTCAGATGACATAAGTATTTTGATTTTTCCTCTAAGACAAAATATATAATAGAGTCATTGCAATAGAAATGAACAGGACTGTAAAGACATTATGCTCAATGAAAGTAAGCAACCAAATATGATAGAAATTATGACCTAAAGCTTCAATGTACTACTTCCTCAGTTAGCTTACAATCATCCCTTCAGTGAACCTTTAGTCATCATAATAACAGAGTGCATGCAATTTGATACTTCAGCAAATATAAAATCCCCTCTTTAAAAGCAGTATACAAAGAGAATAACCACCAGTGTCTGGGAGGATGGAGTTACCAGTTCGGGAGTAATGGATTCTTTTATGGCTCTATCACTTTAAATTTTTTCCTAAAGACTAGAATAGTTGCAAAACTCACTTATGATTCATGTTTGCTTTAAAGCAAAGTTGAGATAAAACTTAACTGTATTTTAAAAAGAAATAAGCTCCTTAGGAATATAGAAGATATTGATGAGATTGGGTTTGGCTTGGATTTGCTTATTTTTAAAACACCTTCCCAGCCTTAGGCATAGATTCCCGCAGGGTCTGTAGAGGATGAGGGCAGAAGGGTGGCCAGAGCCTCCAATGCAACTTCCTTAGCACTGCAGACTAGGGCCATCTGTAGCCACCCCAAATACGCACATTGGACATAATCATTTCAAATATACAATGCTCCAAAGGCCAGCACGAGGGAGAGCCATCTGATGGTGGGTAAGCACATGCCTTGGGTGCTCTTTCTTGCCTCCTCCCATCCTTCTGGCTCCGTCCCTTGTGACCTCTACTCTCCTTCTTGTTCACTAGAATCCCAGTCTATATCTGGTTTTCCTCCATACCAAATGAAGTCAGAGTCCTGTCTCTCTTCTCAACAGAGCTGAGATAGGTATGCATTTCTAAAAAGCTCTTTAGAAAAACAATGCATGATCCCAAAAGGCAATGTAAGACAAGAAAAGATAATTAATTCTATAAAACTACAGCATTAAGGATATCTGAGATCTGTGAAGGTCAATGAAATCAGGGAAGCAGGAGGGAGGGAGGGAGGGAGGGAGGGAGAGAGAGATATTGATTCTCTAGGCCTGTGGGAATGAACCGAGACACAAACAGGCCAAGCAGCACAGCAAAACCTTCTTCAGCCCCCTCCCTTTCCCACTGCTGGTGTGTGACCGAGAGCCATCTTGGCACCCAGGACCAGTCTTCACCAACCTTCTTCCAATGGGCAAGTGTCAGCTCCTTTTTTCCCTAGATCATTGTCCTGTACTTCCTAGGTGTCACTGGTAACTCAGGATCAAGAAATGGGACACGATCTGTTCAGCGGCTGCAGCACTGGGCAGCCATTCCAGAACCCCAGCACGCAATCTCATCCCTTGTCAAACTGCCTGCATCCACTTCTGTCTTCTCATGACGGCCTCGGTACATCACTTCTCCACAGCCATGCCAACTATTAACATGGCTTAAGAGCCAATTTTAATTTGCAGTGTTACTACCCTCTCCTGATTAAAAAGCAAGATGTAGTTGAGGATGTAATTCAGTGACAGATTAGTTAGCATAGCTGAGGCCCTGGTTCTATCCTTAGAACCCCCAAAAAAGAAAGAAGGAGAAAGGAAGAGAGGGAAGGAGGAGCAGCAGCAGGCAAAGTGTGATCAATCCTTTTTCACAACCTGGCGATCTTTGAGAAGCCTGCATATAGATAAGTGATGATTGATTAATTGATTGATTGATTGATTGATTGATTGACCTAACTGACAAGAAAATACAAGTGAAGTCATTTTTGAAGGTTCTATAGCACATCATGAATTGTAAGCCTCTCCTCTCCCAGGATACCATGGTGGCCAAGTTCATACTAAATAACGCCTCTTATGGAATTGCAGTGTTTCAACAAGGAAAATGACACATGAACTCTATGAGCAGGAATTTGTCCTTGAGGGCTGCCCTACTGTGAGGAGGAAGAGGTACAGGAAATAGGGGGGTGGAGATGCAACAAATGGGAGGAAAACCGGGACGGGAAAGGAGTGCCAAGACCCGGCAGAGAAGTAGTCTGGGGTGCACGAGCAAGTGGAAATATAGTGGGTGGAGAGGAGATGAACAGGAGATGGTCACAAGGGGGTGAGGGATGGGGAGGCCCAGAGACAAATGCCAACTACTTCACAAATGTCCTTAGAACTGATTGAAATTTCTAGAAGAGGCTGCTTGATTTGAAGCCTACAATCAGCTAATCAATAATTTACAAATTTAGAATGTTCAACAGCATGTTTAAACTGAAGGAAACATCAGAAAAAGAGAATGATGAGATCAACCTCATCACTCAACTACCACAACATAAACTATTCACTTATATTTATAAATGCCTGTCTTAAAGTAAAAAAAAAAAAATTTTTTTAGTAAAAATGATTTTTTCAAAATGTTCAGGATTGTTTTTAACCGAACAATAAGAACTTTATTTTATATGAACAAATAAATTCAGGAAAGCCAATTATCCCAGGCAATTTTGGCATGACTGTTGTTAAGTCTTCCTAATGACACATGGCAGTTGTTTTAAGTAGAAGGAAGAACCACAGTTACTCACAGCAGTGTTTGGTCCTGAGGGCCCTTCCCCATCATGCAGTGCATCTGTATCCTCCCTCTGTCAGTTTCCTTTGTAAATGCTCAGGAAAAAAAAAGTCTAATTTTAATACCAGTTCAAGAAAACTTTGATTAAAATATTCATTAAAAAATCATATAATACTCCCCTTTCTTCAAGTCAGGCTCCCTGGACTGTGCTACTGATGAAGCATGCGGTACCCTGAAGTGCTTCTCTGGCACCCGTAAACAACCCATCTCAGGCCCATTCTCACTGTTGGCCACTCGCCTAGTTTTAGTAACTGTCTAAGTGTCCTCTGATAGCTCCTGGACCACAGAGCAGTATATACTATAGCAGTGGAGTTTTCTAAGATATTAAATTAGCTTCATAAGTTTAAAATGGAAAAGGTATCAAATCACATTTGATTTCCAGTAAAATGACCAGCATATTGATAAAAAAATTTCCCAGGTGAAGGGTCTAGGGACACCTGAGGAGAATGTTCTTTTTGCTTATTTGGCAGCTTGTTGGAACACCCCTGTTGTTTGAACACCTCCAGGTTCTACACACAAGGTTCACCTCCTCTTCTCTTTCCACCTGTGTGTTTCTCTCTCTCTCTCTCTCTCTCTCTCTCTCTCTCTCTCTCTCTCCCCCCACCTCAAGATCTTCACCAACTAGGCCTCCAAGGAGGACTTACCAGTCTCCTTCCTTCACCAAGGATGGTGCTTCCTGCTCTGCCCTCTGCACTCGGCAGCACTGGTTGGACAAGTGTCAATGGTGTTTGTTTCTTTCTCAATATTAAACAATAAGTTCCTGAGGAATTTCTTACTGTTCTGGGGTCAGTGTCTTTTTGAATATAGGTTGGATCAAATCTCTGGCCCCTTTATAATAAGTCCAGGGAACTGAATTTAAAATTCGTGTTTCCAGCTAACTGATTCAATGAAAGGATAAAGAGCACATGTCATTCAGCCAAACTGAAATATGAGACCATTGTGTTAGAAATAGATCTTGTTTCAAAGAATCACAGACAGTTCAAGTCACCATGACACTTTAATAGATCTTATGATTTGAAAAGCTGATAGTTATTTGGCTCTTGAAATTTTTCCTGGCTGCAGTGCTGATGGGTGGGGTCCAAGATACAATGTAAAAACCAGCCAGAGATAGGCAGCTACCCTTCTATTGAAAGGGTCATTCTTACATAATCTCCCTTTTGAAAAAGAAATGCAGCCCTTTAAAATACACTGGATTCTAATGCCTTACACAGAACTATTAATGTCGACAGGCACCCTTCTCGGGCTGGGATCCCTTGGATGTTTTATTTAATTTGCATCTCATTATGCAGTTTCACAAAAAGGAAAAATACTTTTTATGAGAAAGCCAAAACACATTTCTTATTTTTAAAGGGAAAGCAACACAATCAGTTAAGTGCATTTGCCACCTTGCTCTGGGGAAAGGTGCACAGACCCTTGACTGCAGCCTTACATGTATGGTTATGGGCTCAGGCGCCTTCCCTCCTGCAATGGTCTTTGATGGCAGTAGTTAAAATAGCTGTGGTTGTTGGCAGCCCTGCTGAGCGCATGCTGGGTGTTCAGTGATAAGCAGTGGCGAATGGGTGTTTTCTCTCTCAATCATTTTTGTGCAAAGTAAGATTTGTTTCTAATTTCTATGATGCAAACAAGCACACAGAGGCATGGAGATTTATGAATAGACTCCCCAGTTACCAAAGAGTGGCACCTTCCCTTCCTCCAGAAAAAGCAGGACCCCAAGTTTTCTCTGATGTGCTGGGATGAGTTGAAGGTCTCTTTCGTCTGCTGTCAATGGCATACTGGGCACAGTTAAGCAATGTTGTCTGTATTTTAAGTATTCCCAAACCACATAATTGCTGTGCCCAATTTTTTAAACTTCTAGGCCAAAAATTTCATGACTTGACATGTAAAAACAGCTTGTCCATTGAACAAGAAATCTCATAGGCTTGTCCATTTTACAGAGAGATGTGGGAGACTTTGTCCTATGGAGGCATCCTGTGTATCTTGTTAATATTTACCTAGAAGACCAGGGAGACAGATTGTAGATGAACAGGAAGGGAATTGGCTAGCTAGGCAGGCCTGAATTTGCAGTGCCTGGCAAAGACGAACATACCCAAAGTGTTGAACTATTCAGCAACAGCTCCAAACTGACTACTGAAATGGGAACACAACTTTCAAGGATTCGGGAAACCCATATTCTGAGATTGAGGCTAAGTAGAGTCAGTCTGTACTTTTGTGCTAGAGAAAGCCTCGACTATACCCCTACTTGTAGGACTGAAGTCTCCCCTACACACTTACTCTGACTCACCCATTCCAGGTATGCAAACCTCCCAGGTGACCTACTGTCCATCTCCTCCTACAATTGTGAGCCCTGCATACAGACCACTTCATCATCTCAATAAGAACCAAATAATTAACAGCTTTTCAAGCCATGAGAACTCTATTCAAGTATTGTCATCCAGTCATTATGGGGATCTCTTGTGAATCTTTTGGAGACCCTGCACATTGGCCCACTGAACAGTATATACATGCTTGAATATACACACAGTGATTCAAAATGTTTCCTACAAATTCAAAGAATTCATGGCCCCAGATGACCAGTCAAGAACTTCAGGTAATGATTTCCTGGCACTCTCCAACATTTCATACATTTTAAATCTTCCCACTCTGCCCTTATTTTTGGTTGACATAAATACATGACATTCTCTATATTCTTTTTTTTCTCTCTCCTAAATATACCCCTCTTATTCCAATACTATGCCTGCACCATGCTTCAAAATTCACAGGAGGTCTAAGGGTGGGTATTATTTTATACTCTTGAAAAAAAGACTCGAAGCCACTAGAAAGCTCACAAGTAATGATATTAAAAACATGGAACAGTGGTCAACTACAAAATGTCAACAGGCAGTTTCAGAACGGTTGCCTTCCCCCACTGCTGTACTGGAGGTCTCTCTGCTCAGCCCTGCAAAATCAGCCTGCAGACACAGACGCTTAGGTTTGGGAGTGGACTCTGTCTCTGCTGCTGTTACCCCTGGGTCAGCAGGGAACCCGGTGCTGCAACCTGAGCCTTAGTCTCAGCTGCTGTTCATTAACATCAGCTTCTAACACCTGCTTGGAGAGTTTTAAAGAGACTGCAGGGCAAAGCTGCAGCCCTGCTGACAACATCAGAAAGAGACCCTGAGGTACTCGGGCAGCAACGGGGCTATCAGAAGGCACCCTTGGTAAACTAGGACTTCGAACTTCAAACAGAGCCTATCGTGCTTCTTGGCTTTCCTCTTCCCTTGTGTGTTTCATAGTGGAAAAGACTGTTCACAGACACCTCTAAAGGCTACTGCTGCCCAGTGCTTGTCACTCAGGGGTCAGCACTCCTTAGTTGTTGAATTGTGAGCCTTTGTAAACAAATCAAAACATCCTTGTTACCTTTCAGAAAGTTGGATGCATCACATAAAGGGAGAAAAACACAACAGCTTTCAGGAATAATTTACTGCAGCTTAGGAAAGAAAAAAGCCCATTTTCCTATTTCTTTATCCTTTACCACAGTAAACTTATGATGCTCTTTAAAAAGGAAGTCACCGTTACAGTCTACCCTCTTGGATTAACTTTTCCTAGTTACTGTTTAATTAGACTTTAACAACTAGATTTAAATTCAGAACTTAGACCCAAAAGGTATCTGTGATTACTGCTCATGCATAAATCGCAAAGTTACAGAAAAGCATCTAATTAGCCCACCAAAGACACAGCTATGATTCAGTACCTGGGTCTGGCTGATCAAATGCTTGATCCATTTCCTGGTGGAACATTTACAGGTAGTTAGAAGCATGTTTAGTTTCCATTCTTCCCGATCAAGCCGAGTTCAAGCAGTAGGCAGTGGTAGTTATGAGCAGCTGATGGCACACCCCAGCTCTAGAGCTGCTGTTTCAGGCTTAGAAACTCCCCATTAAAACCTCTAGTTAAAGGAGCATCGTCTTTCTATGTGAGCATCGTTAGCGGTCAATACAGCTGCTTCTTTGAGGCAAGCCATGATTTCAGTTCTGCCTCAGCAACTCTTAAGAGGATTCTGCTTCAGTGAGTAGAGGCAGTATCCTAGCAGTGTGTCTGAAATCATCCTCAAGAAAACATTAACATTCAAACAGAGCACAGGGAAAAGCATCACTGGGCATTCCCATGCCTTTTCCAAAATCAAAGTCGTAAATCCACCTGTACTCTCTTCTCTATTGATTGTTGACACTGTTCCTCTTTGGGTCTGTCAATTTGCACCTTGCAGCACCCAGCCTTCATATTGATTATGGTTTTATGACCTTCAGGCCAACTCAGTGAATGGAAAGACTTCTAGGGAAGGGCATCAACTTAGCATTTGGGAGACTAAGGCTCCTTTTCCTAAAGAAAATGAAACGACCTTATAGACAAGCCAAGCAGCATATATGAGAGGAAAAGAGGAAATAATGATTTAAAAAGAATCAATCATATTTTCACCCTGTTTATAAATATCCTGGGCTGCAGGTGGCCAGGTCTGGTATCTCTTTGGCTGGGCAGAAGAACTGTGGCTCTGGTAGATACCCTACCCCACACAGGCCACCTGAGACCTGATAAATAAAACAGATAAGACTCCGTGGAGAGAAAGCTGTTGTCATATTCAGCCTCTAGCTGCACAGCATAATATTCAAATTATTTTCCTTCTGTATGATGCCTAGATACATTTAGAAAGTATTTTAGGATAAAATTCTTGTTTGTAAGAAAAATAAACCCCACTTCTCTGGAAAGAATTCAACATAATCCGTAAGAAGGAACCTCCTCGTTTTTTGGCAGCTCACCACTTCCCTTGTAGAAGTGGAAGAAGCATAGTTAGCAACCACACACCCACCCACCAAACGATGATGTGTATGATATTTAAAGCCACCTCTGTGCCTGTCAGCTCTGCTGCCTCCTCCCTGGGGAGAAACAGCCATTACTAAGCAGCCCTGGGAGACTAGAATGCAGTTCACAACTAAGAAGACAGCTGCCTCTATGAGCACCAGGCAGTGACCCCGAAGATGCCTTAGACCCCAAGGCTCTTGGAATCTAGGACTGAGTGTGAGGGTCTAATAGCAGAATTCGTGTGTGACATGAGTGTGACCTCAAGAAAGCATGGAAGCTCTTTCCCCAGGTTTTCTTCATTTGAAATGTGACGGTGCTGAGGAGGGTGTCACCTGTCTTGGCAATGCCAAGCTGTGGTACAGTGCAGGGAGCATTCAGACCTACCCTCACTTACGTACTTATTCCATGTGGTCAGAAAGCAATGAGTCAGAAAAGAGCCTGCATTTCTGTGGCTCGCCATGCCAAAGAGGCCTTTCCCTCAGAACTGGTCTCAGCTATAGACTCATAGAGCTGTCTCAGCCTATAGATTCATAGAGGGCCCACAGCTGTCCTCCAGCAACTCCACAGGCTGAAACCACCTCTGTGTTAGTTAGAGAGATGAATCTGGGCCTATTTTTAAACTCTCCAGGGAAGCTGTTTCTCCAACCTCCTGTGACAACCTCTGTTTAACTCCTCCACTACTTACTTAGTCTAACTAGGTTGGTACATTTCTTTCTGTTCTTGCTACAAAGAAGAAAAAAAAAATCAGTCATTAGCTACCACAAGGAAGTTGAACTAGATAAACCAAAGACTAGCTGATGATCTGGGCTCTACTTGAAGCCAGACTATTTCTTTTAGAAAATAAGTACAATGCGAATCATTGGAATGTGCCCTTCCTTCCCGCCGTGTAGCTATGTTATATGAATCACCGTGCATTCTGAAACAATAAGGATTTATACAATTCCATTTGAATATTTCATAGTAGGCCCCGTGCCTTCTGTCTTTAATAATCTTTATAGCTCTTCTTTGAATTCTGTCCAAACTTTAGGTTCTCTGGTATAGCTTTTAAGTAGGGAGCCAGAATGCTGCAGAACCACACGAGGCTGCAGTGTGGTAGTCTGATTTCATGAGACAAAAATTGTTGTTATCTATGCCACACTTCCATTTAGCCCTCATAAGTAACTTCAAGGTTTATGTCTAGTCTCTCTATAACCACAAATATTATGGGTTCAGGTCAGTTAGGAATGGACTCTAAGAGCTTTTCTGACATTCTGATTCCAAGCTTCCTCTGTAAAGTTCTTTAGTTTACAGTCCTTTCCTTGATGTTCCATACTGCACTTTTCCATATCGCTACAGAAAATCTGTAAGAACAAAAGAGGCTTCATAAACCACCAGAGTTACACCAACACATGGCAGTATTGGAGTTATTATTGTGTTTCTTGTTATTCTGATTAATTTTTTAAAAAATAAATTCTTAGTTCAAGCTTTAAAATATAATCAATCATGGGTCTTTTAAAACATTTTATGCATTGTGTTTCTTGTTATTCTGATTAATTTTTTAAAAAATAAATTAAATTCTTAGTTCAAGCTTTAAAATATAATCAATCATGGGTCTTTTAAAACATTTTATTTATTTATTTTTATTTTAAGTGTATGAGTGTTTTAGCTGCATGTCTGTAAGTGTATCATGCATATGTAAAGCCCACAGAGGCCAGAAAAGGGTATTGGATCCCCTGGAACTGGAGTTTTAGATGGTTGGTAGTCACCGTGTGTGTGTGTGTGTGTGTGTGTGTGTGTGTGTGTGTGTGTGTGTGTGTAAAATCCTTACAGTAAGTAGTGGTGGTGCATGCCTGTAATCCCAACACTCAGGAGGCTGAGATTAGAGGACTAGGAATTCAGGGTACTTCTTATATATTTATTTAATATATTTATTTTATTTCACTTATTCAAAAACATTCAAGTTTATAATTAGTGTCATATGTCATGTTAACTGTTACAAAGAATAAACAGCATGGGTTCCAGGTCCCTGTTTATGTTTGCTCAAGTGGTACACTGGACAACTGTAGGAAGCACCCTGGTCAGGGCTGGAGAATGTCAGCTTCTAGGTATGGCTGCTGAGCTTCCAAATAGACTAGCCCACTTCTACTAAATTCCATTTCCTAACCTCTCCCTTCGCTGCTCACCCACAGACACTGGCCTTTTGCCCTCCCCTCGCTATAGATCATGATCTCACATGATCACCAGTGGCTTCCAAATGCTCAAGCAGAGGCACTCCTTTCTGTTAATTTTCCTTGCTCATGGCAACATCAGACAGGACTGAGCGCTCATTTGAAGGGAGGCTCTTCAGAAGACATGGGCTGAGGTGACAGGCAAGGTCAGACATCTCATCCTCAGGGGCTTCTTCGTTAGTGCCTCCTCTCTTCATAGCCTCTCTTTGGCCTTCTGACACTCATTCACACAACTGCTGTAAGTGGGGAGTGAGGATGGAAAAGCAGCAGTCCAGCACTGTGCTCCGACTCCACCTCTTTTAATCCATACAAAAGAAATGGGCCAGTTTGTGTATGCTATTTTTATTTCTATGTCTCCTAGGTTAATAATAAAATAAATATATTGTACTACATAAAGGATTTTTTAAAAAATCAAGATTAATTCAATTTTTAATATATGTTTGATTTTTGCCCAGTTGAAGTGTAAGTTTATGTGTCCAATCACCTCTCTTCACAACTCAGTGAGCATTCAGAATTTGAGGGGATGCTGGGGGAAGTTTAATAATACTCACTCCAACCTTAAGAACTAGGGCCGTATTTAATCATTATTAAAAGCAAGCAGATTAGAGTCCAACAGACTGGCAGCCTCTTGGTTTGATATTTTCTTGAACATGATTCTGCATCCACATCTGTGCTACACTGAATGCTCAGCTGGTAGCTGATGAATCTACAACAGAGAAGGATTGACATGAAGATGAGGACCAGACAATACTGCAATTCAGTGCAAACGTAGCTGAAAGGAATAAAACAGTGATAGCGCTCAGCACCTGTGAGGCTTGTAGACAGGTCTACAGAATTAAGCTTGTCTGTTCTTCCCTGTGTAAGTCAACATATGAAAGCATGTAGAAAGAAATGGCAACATGCTCACGCAAAAGCTCACCTCCAACCTTGAGGAATAGCTTCACCCAAACTAAGCAGTATTTCTATTTACAGAAAATAGTGCGATATTTAAGCTCTTAGTTCTAATTGCAGTATGAAAGCACGTGGGCACCACTGTGGACTATTCACAGTTAACTATTTTGCAGTTGACAGCCTGGTGGGTGATGTTATTCTTTTAAGCTGACTTTTACAATAATAACAATTTTCTTAATGGCTTTGAAACACTTAATGCCTTTAAAATGTCATATAAAGTGCCAATTAAAGTTTTATACAACCATTCGCCTACATTTCTGGGCCATCATTTTGGAATGATCCTTTCCTTCTGTTCCACAGCTGTATTTTGGAATGGGAGCGCTTCTGTGTGGACAGTAAGAGCACCACACAGCTTAGGACATTATGATGATTGAGAAAATGAAACAGAATGACCCAGGGAATAACTGGCTGGCTGGCTTGCCTCCGATACCTGACAAGATTCTGGAATTGAAAGTCTTTCCACTGAAAAATCAATTTGAAAACGCCCAGAGGAGAAAATATCACCTGAAGCATTTAAAAAGTGCTTGTGAAAAAAGTTGTGGAAAACCAATCTTAGTTTCTGATATTCGAACTTTTAGAAATGACGGGAAAGGAGGCTGAGGAAGGGATAATAAACAGAAGTTGTCGTACATGGGCACCTAATGCAAATTTTAGTGGCTCAGCACTAGAGCTTACAGATGTGCTCAGTGACTGCTTGAAAAAATATTTAACTTTACAAGTGTTTCAGTATTTCAGTGGGCGCAATAAAGAATTTCAGTTATGTAACAGACATAGAACATCTTTCTCTTCCAGTTCTATGTTCCAAATTTTGTAGGAAGACTACTTTCTATAATTTTTGCCAGTAAATGATACATATTATATATTTATATGCAGAAGTATGTAAATATTGTAAATCATATGTATATCTGTTATATACTATATTAAATGATCTCATAAACTTGTCAAGCATGCATATTTGGAAAAGTTTGGACCCAAATAATTCAGCAAGGCCAAGAATCTGTATTCTGAATAAAACATGTTCAGGACTGCTGATGTAGGGTCTATGAAGGAAACACTGAAAAATGTTGTTATTGAATTTTTACCATTCTTTAATATTTTGCCATAGTAAATGTTTTAACTATGTAAGAAACAGCCTTAAGCTTAAAATTTTGGATATCACAGGCTTCTTTGAAAATATGATTAAATCTATGAGGCCATCATTAGAAAAAATCCTTAAGTTCTACACTGAGATCCCTTGGCCTGAAATTCCACTCAAAACACAATCTGTCTTTATCCTTCTCTTCTACCCCTTTTTACCTGCCATTAAAGAGGTGGTGATGTCAAGAAAAATAACCCAAGCTCATAGAGACAAATATTGTTTTCCCTTATATGCAGAATGTGGATTTAAATATTGTATACACACGAGCGCGCGCGCGCGCGCACACACACACACACACACACGAGGAGAAATAGGGCTTTAAAGGGGGAGGGAGGAGCAAGGGACGGTAATGGAGAAGAAGACCCTATCACATCTTTTTACTCATGAAGAATCTGATTTAACTATGAGACGGAGAGTCAGAAGAACGGTCTCTGGATGAACAATGAGAGGGGCAGGGAAAGGAGGAAATGGGCATAAACAACAGGAATAGAGACATACGAAGTCTTTTCATTTTTTATTTTTTTAATTATTTATTTAATAACCACATACTTAGAAGAAGCATTTCATTACAACAGCATTGACATATTCAATAACAATTTCCAGAGCTAAGAAGCATTTCTTTCAAAATTGGCTGTACATTTCTAGGTTTACAGATGAATTATTACGCTTATATAATCTTTTACTCATTATAAACTCTATAAGACATAAAATTAAATGAGGTTCCAACGTTTAAAAAAGATCTCCACTTTG